ATGTGAGATGTTTGCCAGGAAAGCTCATTGGAGACCCAGTGCCCAGAGTTTTTTGGAGGCTGGTCATGTAGGTACCTCTGCCTGGCACATACCAAATTCCAGACTCCCAGAAGGAAAGCAAGAGTTTAGCATAGACCACATGATATAGTTTAAGCACAGTGAGCCATTCTTACCAGTCCTGGGAATGGTGGCACCCTTCCGAAGCCCAAGTTCCCAAAAGCCAGTTGAGGGCCAGCCTTGCAAACAGACCTTTCTAAGAATAGTGGTCTCAGGCCTCATAATTTTTCTCTGCATGATATCCAGATTAACACTTGTCACCACCACGATCACCTTGGTCATCTAAGCCACCATCATCTCTTAATGTCCTGGATTAATTAAAACGTCTCTGTCCTCTCTACTTTCTCAGCTAAGCAGCTGTAATGACCGCTAAAGTGGTAGATCACAACACTCTTTGTTCAGAACTCAAGTGGCTTCTCATTTCTCATAATTGGAATAAAAACTGAAGTCTGTCCGCAGGCTCCTGAGGCTCTGCAAGACCCCCCATACACACATTGCTCTGACTACATACCCTGTTGCATACCCTGCTCACTCTGCTCTAGCCATGCAGGCCTCCTGGCTAGTTCTCCGTTTGTTAGCAGGCATGCCCCTGCTTAAGGGCTTTGATGTTTGCTCTTCCTTCTGCCTGGACCGTTTTTCCCTGAGATATCCACATAGCTTGCTCCCTCATCTCTTGAAGTCATTGCTTAAATGTCACCTTTTCAGTGAGGCCTCCCCTAACCACATTATTTAAAATCACATATTTTGGGGTTTTCTGTTTCTTTGTTTGTTTTTTGGATACTTATTCCCTTTCTATATTTCATTTTTCTGTATAATAGTTATCTCCTCTGAATATACTTTACATTTGTTTACTTTATGGAGACTTTTTTTCCTCACGAGATTGTAAGTTCTCCAAGGGAGTGAGATTTTGTTGTCTCCCTGGTAGCTAGAATAATGCCGGGCATGTATGAGGTGCTCAATAAATATTGAATGAGTGAATAAGGAGAAGGCACTGAACTAAGGCAGTGGCAGTTGGGATAAGGAACAGTGCAATAGGTAGGGGATATTAAGGAACTAGAGTTGGCTGGGCCTGATGACAGGTGGGTTGGATAGACGTAATGGGAAGGAATCATAGGATTGGACTGCAGAGTGGTCAGTACCATTCAGTGAGTTAGAGAAGAGAGGAGGTAGGGTAACTGTAAGGGAAGTTCAGTTTGGGGATAAATCTGGTTTGAGGCATCTGAGCTACAGGGCCAGAGTGGAGTTGTTTCTCAGAGACCACGAAGGACTTAGAAATCACTGGGGAAGGAAAATTTGTCAAAAACAGGAAGACTAACTCTAGTAAATTTAAAGGAAGTCCAGCATGTCGCCAAAACTAGAGGCCCTGAACAGGTATTTAATAAGAGTACTGGAGAGGACCAGAGCCAGAGCCAGGCAACAGTTGGATATGATGAGGGACTAGTTCAGGGCAGCTAACCTATAACTGCTACCTCTGGTTTGCTATTATGTGGCTTATATGCACATCTCATCTTGGTAGAGTGACATAACCAGATGAAATGTGCCTCAAATGAGTGTGAAGAAATACAGGTTTTGAAAGTGGCAACAGGGAGCTAGGACCCCCCAAAATAATGCCTTCAAACCCTGTGTGTGAGCAGCCCTCCATTGAGAGCTGCAGGGAAGCTCTTTCCTCCCCCCGCTGAGAATCCAGGTAAGACAAGGCATCAAGGGGACAATCAGAAGAGATTCAGGATATAGGGTGAGTTTTTCCTCTGGAACAAAGGTTCTATAAGGCCCAGGAAAGGAGGCTCTGAGGGAGGGGAGAGGAATAGAAGAAGTAATTTTAGGGCAGCTCTGAGTGAACTCCTGGTGGTGCTGGTGAGTGGAAAGAAGTGTGGAGCCTTGGGCAGCTGGACACGGGAGAAGCTGCTACTGTTCCCACCTCCATAGAGGGCCTGGTAGTGTCCTCCATTTGGAGGAGGGACTTTTGGGTGATTACTGGCCGTTCTTTGAAGGAAACCCTTGTGTAGGAAGTTGGTGCCCAGACTAGTTAATTTAGAAGATCTTTACCTAGAATTTAAAACAACAGTAGGCTATATTGATAGTGGACTCAGATCTTAAGAAGCAGTCATGGGGGTTGCTTTAAATTGTTTGTACTTATGTTTGTAAAAAAAACATTGTTTGCTTTAAGTTGAGTGTAATTATAACCAAGTCTCACAGAGCCGAGAGAACATTATAGGTATTAGTGTCTCCTCCCTGCCCCCCACTGCGTACACACACACAAATATAAATGTACATACATATTTCTGCATGTGTGTTATGTACATAATTGAAACTTATTTTATAGACTTTTTGGACATCACCGAAACTCACAAGGTCCTCTTAATAAAAATCCTAAAGAGACTTCTGTGTCTTCACAGGATACCACAGCCGTCCCATATGCATTTCAAGATGATCCTTATCTCATACCAACATCCTCAGTGGAATCAGTGAGTACTTTCGTGTGACTCTTCTAGTATTATGTTTTGTTGGTTTGGGTACAAGAGTACATACATAATTTAGTTGTAAAAACTTTGTAAAAGTTTACAGATGCTGATAAATTGGTAGACTTTTTGAATCCTTTGCTAGCAACTTTCATCAAAACCCCTCTCCATAACTAATCTCAATTAGCTATGGAGAGGGATTTTGGTTTTGGTTTTTAACACTGGAGCAATCTACTCAGTTTAATGCATTGTTTTTATATACCTGAAGATGTGTATAAGGCATAACCTGGAATTATGTCACACTCAGTAGCAGAGGTGGATACGTATTATGTAATTTAACTTCTAATTGGGATTCTGTGTGTTGTGGCCTTCCTCTTTAGTGGGGAGAATAGTAATTCTTGCTGAGACTGTGACTGATCTCTTGAGTCTAAGTTACATGTAAATAACCAATTTATACCTAAATTTTTTCTTTATATAGCGTTCATTTTTGCTGGCAAAGAAATCTGGAGAGAATGCAGCAAAGTTTATTATTAATTTACATCCCAAATATTTTCAGAAGAATATAGCTGAACCTGATATACCGGTAAGCAGAGGTAATTACGATTTTCAGATGACACTATATAAATGTGAATTAAACCAAGCTTTTGTGGCTTGAGTAACCATTTGAGTGCTCTCAATATTTGGGTGAAAAGTCTTAATGTGTACAGTTGTATGTGCTCACAATCATAACCTTTTTTTTTTTTTTTTTAACGCCTGTATTTATTTGCTCCTCATCTTTTCCCCATTTGGCTTCTGTGACACCAGACTTGTAGATCTTTACCTTTATGACTGTTCTTTTTCCGTTTCCTTCAGTAGCCTTTCTGTCACTCCTTATGCATTGATGTATGTCTTAGGTTTCCATGTTCAGTCTTTTTCTTTTTTTTCCTGTTTATACTCTTCTTGCTTCAACAATCCTGGTACTCCATTTGGCATTCTTGTACATCTGGCCTAGATTCCTCTACTTTGAACTCTAAATTGTATTTCCATCTACTGCTTTGTTCTGTAGTTATGAAGAGCAAGTATTTTGTGTAGTGCCTCCATGGCAGGCAGCACCTCTGAGATCTCTTATGTTGTTTACTGTTCACACTGTATCATAATTATGTCCTTATTGCGTTCTCCATTAGATTGTAAGGTCTTGAGGGCAGAGAGTGACTTTCATTTCTTTGTCCCCAATATCAGGAGTAAAATTGTGGGCATTCAGTAAGTATTAGAATAAATTAGTGAGTGAGATAAAGTCAGCATACCTTAGTGATAATTAAATGTTTAGAGTAAAAGAAGCATCAAAGATGAAAGGTTTCTGCCTTTGGAAACCAAGTGTGCTCTGACTCTTATTCAAGATTGGGAAGAAAGGATGATTTTAGCAGGGAAAAAAAATAGTAAATTCAGCTTGAAGTTGAGAAATTTAGTTGGAATTAGGATTCTTCAGAGCTAGATTAGATACTTATGTTTAGTTGCTTTTAAATTTTTCTCCCCAAGCTAGGAGATAGCTAAATAGTTTTGTTTTGGAGACTGGAGAGGTGTTTTTTGGGGGGTTTTTTTGTTTTGTTTTGTTTTGTTTGACATTTTTTAAAGTGTGTTTCCTACAAAGACATGTAATATTATAAATAGTATTTGGTTCATGTAATATGAATTGGAACAGTGACATTTTGGTGTGTTGGTGATAAAAGTTTTGTCATGCTCTGTTATCTTTTGACTTTTACCTGTTTGTAGTAAATTTAGCCATCTTATTTTCCTAGTGTTTAATGCCTGAGTGCTTTGAACCTCAGATTGAAGATATAAGTGAAGCTGCCCTGAAGGAACGAATCAAGCTCAAAAAAGTTAAAGCTTCAGTGGACATGTTTGATCAGCTCTTGCAAGCAGGTGACTAAGTTCATTTAAAGTCATCCCCCGCCCCTGAATGTGGGCTTCAAAATGGGCCACAGTACACAATCCCAATAGTTGTGAGTATAAGTTACTAGTGTTATTGTACTTAACTCTGCTTGATGGCTATGTTTATATTTTTAATAGTTTAATAAGTAATATGTCAAGTTCTGCTTTAATTTCACTTTAAAATTATAGATAGGATAGAGTTGCAACTTGGTAGTTTATTGTGCACTGTGTTGTATCACAGAGAAAGTAACATAGCCATTCTTTAGCTTCCATTTTTAACATTGGAGTGTACATAATATATTCATATTTCTTGTGCTCTTTAAGTTTGTTTGGAAGATATAAAAGAAATGTTTAAAAATGAATAAGCACTAAATAATTGGATCAGAGGCTTGGACAGATACTGGTTTTAGTTCTGACATTGATTAGCTCCATGGCCTTGGAAAAGTCACTTGATTCCTCTGAGCTTCTGTCTCTCAAATCCTGTGGCTCTCTGAATTTAATCTGGATGAATGACCCTCCAGGAATATAGAGCCAGATAGCATGGCTTGTGATCACCATGAGAATGTAGCTATAGTAATGTCAAAAGCAGCAGTGTTGTTTTAAGTTTATGGAATCTGGAGTACAGTGATTTAGTATAAAAATCAACCAAACGTAGAAGAGATAGAAACTGCACTGAATCACTCAATACAGCCTTGAACACAAGAAACATTTTAGAAAGCTATTTTTGATTTGAGAATTTGTATATATAGCCTGTTATAACATTCAGTGTACTAATGAATTACTGATGCAGATTATCGTTTAGGGAGGCTTCTCCATCTGCTTGTTGAATAGGACAAATATCTGCTAAGTCTGTATTAACAGAGTTCTTAGTCCTAAGATTTGTTTTCCTCTAGTTTTACATGCTGCATGGTAAAAACACATGAAGATATTCAGTAAACATTTCTAAAGACAGTGTATCATCCACATATATGATAATGATAGATTATATAATTGTGTATCCTATAATTACATATTGATGTTATTTATGTATAATACATATTCCATGGTCATTTAATAACATAATTTCATATTGTGTAATATGAGTATTAATATTTAGTTAACATTAACTAATTATTAAGTGATTTTTCAGGGTCATAGTTCTGAGATAGTCAGATGTCCTATCCACTCTGCTGTACTCTTTTCAGAGCTTTTAAATTTCCTGGGCATTTTTATTTTCAGTATATTTTCTTTAGAAAAATACAGTGATTTCATTTAAAACACTAAATTTATATCCATGTTTTTCTGTTTCCTTCTGTGCTTCTTAAGATTGGAGCATAATGTTTTGAGCAACGATTTTTTAAAGGCTATTATAAGTAGACATTTATGCTGTTATTTCTGGGCAGGTGAGGGCCTGGATCCAAGTGAAATAGTTCTGCTTGCATTTGTAGAAATAGTGGATGATACTGAAAACTACGGCTTATAGAAGAAGTGAAGCCTTTTTATCTAATGGGCTTTAAATCTTTGATGTTTCAAGGTTTTTGGCCCTTTTTTTCTTCTACCTATAGGAACCACTGTATCTCTGGAAACAACTAATAGTCTCTTGGATTTGTTGTGTTACTATGGTGACCAAGAACCCTCCACTGATTATCGTTTTCAACAAAAGGAAAAATCAGAAGATTTGGTAAGGGCTTTGGTGATAATTTTTTAAGTTTCTTTTGGTAGCAACACTTCAAAGTCAGGCAGGTTATTGTGTCGTATGTTAGGGTGATAGAGATTTGTTCTGAGATGTGGGTGGTACGGTAGCTTTGATAAAAAGTGCAGAAGAAGAGAGATTTAAACAATTTAACCCTTCCCTTTTAAAAAAATATTTCGACTTTGCCTACCCCATGTAGGAAAAGCTTTGACAAGAAATGTTCAGGCAGGCCCATATGTTGGTGTTACTTATAATGACAGCATAATGAGTAACAGACAGGTAAAGACCCCCTGGCTCCAGCGCCTTCAAAAATTTATACATACATGAGCAGAGTGGAGTGAGCACACTGCTGGGGGTACAGAACAGTATCGTGCCACGGGATAGCCTGTTGATACTGATCTCTCTCAATCAAAGCAGTATTTGACTCCTAGAAAAAGATCCCAAGGAAACTTTGGCTTATGTGAACAAAGATGTTAATAAGGCCTTTTTCCTAATAATTCATACTTATAATTGCAAAAATGTTGAAAACAAACGATATCCAATAGTGGGTGATTTGAGTTATGGTAGCAGTCCCCAGCCATTTTGGTGCCAGGGACTGGTGCTCCTATGCGAATCTAATGCCTTATGATCTGTGGTGGAGCCGAGGCGGCGATGCTAGTTGCTGGAGAGCGGCCACAAATACAGATGTGCGGCCCAGTTCCTAACAGGCTGCAGACCAGTCCCAGGGGTTGGGGACCTATGGATTATGGTAATGGTGGTGTGTGGTGATTGAGAGTACTAGTGTAGGTCTCCCTGGGTATGGAAAGACACTGATAAGTGGTATTTTCTTTATTTTTCTGAAGTTTCCTTTGCCTTCCTGATTTTGAATAGTTTTAACTAGGAGATACATTCTATTGTCATCTTTTGTTTTATTTCTGTTGGCGATGGTTCATTGCAGGAAGAGGCCACAGAGGAAAACAGTGAGAAATCTAAGAAGAAAATTGGTCATCAGTTTGGAGTTACTTGGAGGTATGTTACACATAATTAGAACCTTATATTACGGTTCTATATAGTGTGTGGAATGTTGTCCATCACCTCCTAAACAAGATATGATCCTTTAGTATTCTAAACTAATTTGTTTTTAGTGTATAGTATAAATATGATTGGTATTCATGTGCATTTTGACCTGTTTTCATAAGATCTTTACCTCTAACCAGCAGTACAACATTGGCACTTAATTTTTTCTCCCCCATTTAACTCCATGTAACCTCCACAGGGTATGTAGTTCCTTTGGTAGTTTGTCAGTAGTTTCAGCTTGCAACATATACCTCTAATTTCAAAAGATTCGATATTCTCGTTGAGGTAAGAATGCATATATACTAGAGTGTAGTTCTTCTAAGTTAAGACTACTGGCCAGCAAGCAAAATATTCAGCACTTCCAAACAAAAGGTGAATAACATTTAACTAACATTTGAGGATTTACATTAACTGACTAGAAGCGTCTAAATAAAAGAAAGGTATTTCATGTGGATATCTGGGAAAGAAAGCAACCTTTGATATCTGAAGTCTCCTTTGAAGTGATTTTTAAGAAAAAGAGTAGTGCACTAGGTAGAATGTGACATGTACATGTGCTAGAATAGGACAAAGGATTCAGGAGAAACTGCAGGTTTGTGGTTGCCTGGGTATCATATCTGATGAAGGCAGATGGAGAAACTTCGCTGTGGACCCCGTGGTATAGGTTGCTTTTTATTTAATACTTTGAGTATGTGGTCATGCACCACTGAACAGCAGGGATACAGTCTGAGAACTGCCTCATTAGGTGCTTTCAGCCTTGTGTAAACATTGTAAAGTGTACATGTACATACACGAACCTAGACAGTACAGCCTGCTGCTGTAATTATATATGCTTTACTTTGATCCAGCTAGCAGCATAGTAGACTTGTTCACACCAGCATCACCACAGAAGTAGGAGTAATGCATGTCACTAGGCGATAGGAATTTTTCAGCTTCATTCCAATTTTTTGTGACCAGTGTCATGTATGCTGTCTGTCACTGACTGAAATATCATTATGTGGCACATGACTATATATTACTTGTTCATAAAAATTCCCTTTTTAGTCCTTGGTTCTGCCACCTAACTACAAAGCCTTGGACAACTGAAGCTCTTTGAGCCTCAGTTTTTGTCATTTTCAAAATGATGATAACCGTATCTCCCTCTCTGGGTAGTGAGAATTATTTGAAATTATATGCATAAAGTGCTCAGAACGGTGCCTGGAACATTGTAAGTTCTCAATAAATTGTGTTTGGCTTTTTCTTTCTCCCCTGGTTCACACTTACTCTTTTGTGTCTAGAGCAAAAAACAATGCTGAGAGAATCTTTGCTCTAATGCCGGAGAAAAACGCACATTCCTACTGCACAATGATTCGAGGAATGGTAAAGGTAACATTCGTTTTGTTTTTATATTTGTATCTTTAATTTCTATTAAATCAGGATGTCTCAGCCTCAGAACTGTTGATAATTGGGCCAGATTATCTGTTGTGAGGACTACCAGTGTATCGTGCGATGTTTAGTAGCGCTCTGGCCTCTGCCCATGGAACGCCAGTAGTACATCCTCCCCACCCCTCTCTCATGACAACTAAAAACATCTACAGGCATTACCGAATGTCACCTGGGAAGCAAATTGCCCTTGGTAAAGAACCACTGCACTAGAGCATAAGCTTTATGAGAAATGGAACCTCTTGTGTTTTGTTTACCACTATATTCCTAAACCCTAGAACAGGAAATGTGCAAATATTTCTTAAATTAATGCATTTGATGATGCTTAATTTTTGTTTTTTCCCTCTTCCAGCACCGAGCTCCTGTGCAGGCATTAAACTTGTACACTGAATTATTAAACAACAGACTCCATGGTAAGTGTGTTTGGTGAACTCTACTCCCTCCTTTTTTTTTCCTTTCTCTCAAGAATCTGTAAAATCTTTGGATGTTGCCTCAATCATTAGCTTGCTTTTAATCTTTACCTATAGAACTGGTGATTGAAGCAAGAGTAGAGATCCAGAAAAGAGCGTGGTTTTCTAGTTTTGTGGCTACGTCGTAAGCCAAGAACCGCATGTGCATGACCACTTCGCCTTTAGGGGTTAATCTTCAACCTCAAATTTTGTTAAAGTAGTTTTTTCTTTTACAGGTGATGTATATACCTTCAATTCATTGATCGAAGCAACAGCAATGATGAATGAGAAATTTGAGGAAAAATGGAATAAGATATTGGTAAGGAGGAACCCTCATTTTGTCTTCTAATGGTCCTAAAATATTTTTTGCTAGAAATACATAAGATGGAGACAGCATCCACTGAGCATCTTCACGGCATCTTCACTGCGCTAGGTTCTCAGATTAGTGGTTACCTGTTGACACTCTTCTAGCAATCCTGAAATTTAAATAGCTGGATCTGACATGTGAGAAGAAAGTTACTTGACCCACAACATACAGCTAGAATTCAGGAAGACCGGGGTTGCTGGCCAGTAGTCACTGCCGGGATTATGTAGTCACTACCACATAATAGGTTCTTTATTACAGAAATAATGCATATTGATTGAAAAAAATATTAGGTAAATTTTATAAAATAAAAATCATTGGATTGCAGTAACTTAATAGAAATGTTTTTATACTGTACTGATTTAAAAAAGGAAAAAAATGTACAATCCATTCTAGTCTACTCTTTCACTTGCATCTCAGACGCACTAGGCAGAGGGCTGAAGACAGTTGGACACCTTAGGTTGGCATGGGACAACTGAATGGAAGAGCTTCTCTAAAAGGCAGTCACTGGTCCTGTTAATTAATAGATAATTCTATTAACCTACTTTGTATATAGCCAGAGAGCAAGTTCTTTAGAATGTAATGTTCATTTATTGAACAAATTACTCAGGCATAAAAAATTTGTCCTGCTTTGAATTTAACCAGGAGCTGCTGAAACAAATGGTTGCACAGAAGGTGAAACCAAATCTACAGACTTTTAATACCATTCTGAAATGTCTCCGAAGATTTTATGCATTTGGAAAATTGCCAGCCTTACAGACCTTACGTGAAATGAAAGCCATTGGAATAGGTGAGGGTGCTCCGTAGTGTCCCTTGTTGAAGACCAAGACAGTGCTGACCAGAAGTTTCAGGTCCACACAAGCATTTATATCTTATGTTGCGAATTTCTACATTTGACGCATGTAATTACGTGAGTTTACCATGGTGGGGGTGCTTTTATCACCTTCAGGTTTTTTATAGCAAATTACAACGTTCTTTTAGTATTTTAGGTACTTTTTTTACGGATCTCTTGATTTTAGGAAGAGTTATTCACTTACAGTTAGCTAGTTTTAAATCCCATTTTCCAGCATAATTAGGTATTTGAACCTAAGTATGTGCTGATGTGTTGTATATATTTCAGTAATTCCTTTATTGAAAGCTGTTTTGGGACTCAGTTCACTTCAGTATTCTTTAGTGTTCTTAAATGAAAGATCTGAGTACGTCAGCTATAACATTTTAGTAATGGGTGTCTAGAGTTTCTAAAAGGGATTTAATCTTTATGACACACTTCTACCTTTACATTAATCAGGTGAGCTGGGAAATGTCTTTATTCTAAAGACTAGAAGTGTATCATCTTTTATTTAAATACCAGCATCAATGTCTTTAGTTCAGTGTGCCTCAGCTATATTTTGGATAGCTGTTTGACTTATTTTATTTCTTATTTTTTTCTGTGCACCTGGTAATTCGAGAACCGTCACTTGCAACATATCACTATATTATTCAGCTGTTTTATCAATATGGTATGTATGACACTGTGTTCTATTAATTTACGTAGAAAATTGACCCAGCACCCTTAAGTTTATGTGATTAATTATTGTAAGCTACGTTCAATGCATAAGAATTAAGAATAGAGAATTCACAAATTAATCTACAATCTGAGCAAAAATTTATTTTTGAGGGTAATAATCTTTTTGTGGTGTAAAGCTTGGGCTGGAAAGGAGGAGCTCACTGAATGTGCTCACAGTGTTGATGCACAATTAGAAATTAGAAATGATCAGAAGGTACTGTAGTTGGAGTACCTTTTGCTCTCTAGAGCTGTGCTGGCCAGTGCAATAGTCACTACCACATGTGGCTACTTATTAAAATGAAATAAAATTTAAAATTTATCATTGCACTAATGCTCAGTAGCCACATGTGGCTGTTGGCTACTATGTTGAGTGATGCAAATATAGAACATTTCCATCTTTGAAGGAAGTTTTGGACAGTGCTGCCCCAAGTATTCTTAATTTTATTTTGAAACCTTGTAGGAAAACCTTGAGGTTCCATTTGCCACCTACTTTTAGGTTCGCCAGTCCCTGTTGGAGCTGTACTCTGTTGAATGGACTTTGGAGGAAGACACACCTGAGTTAAAATTTTTCCTCTACCATTTACCAGCTCTATCAAAAGGGACCGGATACCTTTCCTGAGAAATAACATCAGGGTGTAAATGATTAAATGACTATATACAATGTCTTGTCCTTTGCTGGGAGGGCATGTAGTAGGCAGTCTGTTGTTGGCTCTTATCCATTTGCCCCAACTCAACAAAGAACTTCCTGGGTTCAGAAATGATAATTCTAGTCCTTCTCTCCTGCGATGGACTTTATATATAAAAACAACAGAAAAGAACTTGATTGTCTCCATTTTGGAGTGCTACTTTTATAAACTCTATGTCCTCACTATAGGGAAGTTTGTTACCTTTTAGAATAGGGGAAACAGAGTATTTTGGAAACAAGTAAATAGTTTCCACAATAATTGTATCTTCTAAAAGATTACTCAGCCTGGTGACATTGTAGTGAAACTGTTTCGGACATTAAAACTTCTTTCCTTCCTCTATACTGTCACATCCCTTTGGTTCAGCTGCTAATGAAAGTCAGTGATACTTAAACATCCTAAGCAACACCCCTGACCATGGGGCAGGGTGAGGGGAGGAGTGTCAGTCTATCTGTGTATGTAAATTGGCCGCCTGCAGTAACAATTTCTAGGAATCTACCCAAAAGAGAAAGCCTAAAATAATGAAGAAATAATACATATAAAATAGATTATTATGTAACTAGTAAAATACTTAAGATTACCAACAGATGGAAACATGCTAGAGGAAATTATTAAAATATATGTATGCTACTATCATTAAAACTACATTATCACTTGCATATGGATACGGTAGGGAAGGGGATGTGGTAAAGAGTGTGATATGTTTGCCTGGAAATGTTGGTGCATTTTCTGAACTATTGGTACTCGGGTCATATGATTTTAAAGGACTGCCCACATCCATTACTTATACATTCTTCTTTTTCTTGGCCTTCTTACCCTGATTTATACTTAAAAGGAACATAAAATAATTGTTAGCAGAAACCATTTGTTTGTTTTTCTAAATATGTAGGCTCGATAAGGGTGTGATTGTGTGTGTGTTGTTCTGTCTCTCACTTCAGTGAAAGTCAAGCTTGTGAAGAGGCTAAGAAAGATGGGAAAAGTCTCTGTCAGGAGCACATACACAAAGACCCATAAGTGTCCCAGATTTAATGGAGCGTTGTACTCTGTAGGGTTCATTTGTTCCTTTAGCAAGCACGTGCCCTGGCCAGCCCTGTATCCAGGCCTTAACGCTGGAGGCAGAGAGGAGAAATGTGGTCCTTTGTACTGGGCACTGTGTGATTGGTGGTGGTGCAGGAGGTGGACTCATGATAAAAACCCATTTGCTTTCTTGTTCTGTAGAAAACCCTGCAAAAGGATCATCCCTCTTGATCTATGATATCATGAATGAATTAACAGGAAAGAAATTTTCCCCAAAGGACCCAGATGATGGTATGTACAGAAATTGCTTATGTGAGACAGGGAGCCTGTTTCCTGACTGTCAGTTATTGGAGGACTTGTGATGAGGACAGGGTTTAATTTAGCTTAGTAATCTTTTTGATTATTCTGAAAAAGCTAAAATGTCTGCATTACTTTCCTGTATACTTCCTCTCTGCTTGAGTTTTTATTCCTTTAAGTTTATCTTCCACGTTACCAGTTTTTTTTTGGAGAATTTTTATTAATGTTATTTATTTGAAAAATATTTTGTCCGAAGTAACCAAGGCTCTTGTGAACTTTGATTTTCAGACATGTTTTTTCAAAAATATTTTGCCCAAAGTAACCAAAGCTCTTGTGAACTTTGATTTTCAGACATGTTTTTTCAGTCAGCCATGAGAGTTGTAAGTACCATTTCTTGCTTATTTTTTGCTTTCCTTTTTTCTTTTTTTTCTTTTAACCATCTCCTAAATTTATCTGTAACTGGGAGCGGGTAGGGGTCCTCTCCTTGATTCTTTCACTTGCTAACTTTTCTGTTGATGTCTCTGGTTCTTTTTTCTTTCTTTAAAATCTGTACTAAATCACATAACATCCCTACCCTGTGTTTATTATATACATTGTCTTTTTTCATGCTTTTGTTCAGATTAGGTTTTAGAGTATTTCATATTTGCCTGTTGGTAACTTTTTAAATTGAAGGCAGTTTTTCATTATGGTTTTTCATCTTACTATGCTAACATAGAAAAAATTTCAAGCAGTTTTAGAATGAGTTGGCATATTCTGTTCCCTAAGGATAATTGCTTTACAGTTCAGTGTGTATCCTTCCAGGTTTTTCTCTCTGGGCATTCAAACATGCACACCCAGACACATTTCCATGGTATTTTGTTCATTGACAGCAATATAGTATTTCATAAGAGGAATGCACTACAGTTAACTGTTCTCCTGTGAATGTGTTTTGGAGTTATTTTATGGGTTTTTTGCTTTTACAGTAATGCTAGAGTGAGTACTCCATCTGTCTTTGTGCATGTGACCAAGTATTTTTGTAGGATTGATTTCTAGATATAATTACTAGATCAAAATCATTTTATTTTAAATTTCATAGAACTTAGGGGTTTGTTTTGGTTTTCCCCAATTTTTTGTAACTCATTTGCTGTCAACCAATAATATGTTGAATCAGGATAAATATTTCTGCAAATGATTATACTTTTTTTTTTACGTAAAAGCCACTGTTTAGCTGATAAGGATCTCTAAGAATGATGCTTTGTACTTAAAATTTTCAGTGCTCCTCTCTGAGAGATCTAGAACTTGCTTACCAAGTACATGGCCTTTTAAACACTGGAGACAACTGGAAATTCATTGGACCCGATCATCGACGTAATTTCTATTAGTAAGTGTGTTGGAAATGCATCCTTTTGCATTAATGGAGCACCTTTACGCAACCATTAGTTGATGCTACAAATGAAAGGCTGTTGGTGACTCTCGTTTCGCCTCTGATTTCAGGCAGCGTGCCCCTGACTTAACAGCACATGTTAACAGAGCACTAGGAAATCTAAGCAGTGGTAAAACTGATTTGCCTGGCTGAATTTCTTTGCCACACATTAAATCCACATAACTTTCTTCTCTTTGCCCTCCTGTTTATTTGAATTTATAGTAGTAAAGAGACTTCTTAAATGCTTTTGCTTTTAGGCAGATAAAAATAAGAACTTAAAGAATCAGCCTGTTAATAGGTATGTGGTGATTGTCCAAATCCTTGCTTCACATGGAATGCTTTAAAATGAATATAATATTAATTATCTGCTTACCATGAGCTGAGGGTATACTGAGGAGGCAGTCACTAATGACCTGTTGAAGATAAGAAGGTGTTAATTGAGGAGTTCAGAAAGCCATTAGCACTTATTGGGTTAAGCATTGTCCCATATACCTTGAAATTATAATTTTTTAAAGTTTTTTTTTAATTCTGTATAACAAATATCATTATATAAATATGCTGTGATGTAATCATTCCCCTATTGTTAGGGATTTCAGACTAAATATATTTTTTTTCCATTACAGTTCTAAGTTCTTCAATTTGCTTTGTCTAATGGAGCAAATTGATGTCACCTTGAAGTGGTATAAGGACCTGATACCTTCAGTAAGATGATTTATTACTTATATATAATAGTACAAGTGTTCGTGGGTATATTTGCTGATTAATACTTTAAAAATATATTTGTATTTCTCTTAATCAGGTCTTCTTTCCCCATTCCCAAACACTGATAGATCTTCTCCAAGCACTGGATGTGGCCAACAGGCTAGAAATGATTCCTCAAATTTGGAAAGGTCAGTTTCAGCTTATGTGTCCAGGCCTATCTCACTTGGCCTACATTTTGATGAATAAACAAACATGTTGACATTGTTAGGGATGAAAACTTTCATTTTTTGACTAAATCGAATACATTAGGTGTATTTCAAGATCACTTCTTCATGTTTCATCTTGGATTTTTGAGTAAAAATGTACTGAATATGACCTACATTAGTTCCTTAGTGACAAGAAAAGGCTGTTTTATGTACCTGTTGTATGATGTGACAGAAAGAAGATTAGAATCAGTGCTGATTATGCGGTATACACTAAATCTAAGTGCAAGTCTCTAACCCCAAAGCCTATCCCATTTCTCTCTACTACTATGTTGCATCACTGTGGTTCAGTTGCTAACAAGTGATATTTATGTTTCAAAGAAATAATTCTGACTGTAGGCTTATGTATGTTAAATCGGCTGCAGAAGATGCTGTGTCTCTTCCATTAGGTGACTGATTATAAAGTCAGTTTCTGTCTGCCTCAAGTTTCCATGTCTGAGACACTGAGACTATAACCCTGCTCTACTATTTCAGAAGACTGAAAAAACACTGACAATTCTCAAATCCTGTAAAACAGTGTCTTATGTAGAGCAGGTGGCTGGCTGGTCAGATGTAGTGTGTGCTGTGTTTAACACTTGACTGGGAGCACGCACAGGCTTTCACTGCTCTTGTCCATTCTTAACACGATTCCTCTGGATGGTTTTCTGGAATCCTGAAGTAAACCTGGAATAGGTAATGTCAGCAGCTTATTTTCACCTACTAAAAAAATATGAATGACGGCTGACAATAGATAAACATTAGCTAAAGAATGTTGGTTGTACATGATCACTTCTCACTATATTCCTTTTTTGTTTCAAGATAGTAAAGAATATGGTCACACTTTCCGCAGTGATCTGAAGGAAGAGATTCTGATGCTCATGGCAAGGGATCGGCACCCACCAGAGGTAGGGTTGTATTGACACTCAAGGTTCGTTACCATTGTTAGATGCAGTATGTCCTCTAATGCTGAGGACCCTGTAGGGGCAATTTCCCTGGTTTCATCTATGTGCTCATTGAGTGTCATTGTGGAGAATTCTGCCATCTAAACCCAGATTTAAATTATATGTCTAAACATACTTAGCCACTAGCAGAATACCATTTTTAAAGTCGCTCTCATTCCTCTAGTTCAAAGCAAGCAACATGAAAATAGCTTCTTTCTGTCCTGTTAATAGCAGCTTGTATTTTTAAAAAAGATATCTAAAAAGAAAACCCATGATTGGATTTGAAAGATGTGGCTAATTTACCCCAGGGCAAAATCCTTTATTTTTTACTATGTTATTTGTGTGCTTATGTATGTGATGTGTTCCCATGGTACAATGCATTGCTTAGGAGTTTTTAATAGTCCTGTGGAGTCTTCCAAACTTCACTTCTCATAAAACCAGTTAGGCAATTCTGCTGATTCCTAGAGCCTCTCAGCTTCAGGTGGCGTTTGCTGACTGCGCTGCAGATATCAAATCTACTTATGAAAGCCAAGATGCCAGACAGACTGTTCCTGATTGGCCGGCCAGCCCTCTGAACTATATAGCTGTCTTGTTCTTGAGGGCTGGGAGAACCCAGGAAGCCTGGTGAGTACACTACCCACAGGTGGGAGTCAGAAGCATTTGAACTTGGATCTCAGGGAGCATTTCCCCTGGTCGGCAGAGTTGCTCAAATTTGGCTGTGTGATGTGTAGTTTATCAGAACACAAATTAGTTTTCTACATAATGAGTTTTCTCTGGAAACTTCCAAATAAACTGGAGCAAATTTTAAGAAGGCCAGTATACATGATATATTTAAGAGAGGATGGGATTCATTGGGCTAATTTTCTTTCCATTAATGACCTTTCTGTTTTGGGTATCCACAGACAAGTAAGTCACTTGTCTGTCCACTTAAATAGAATAAAGTGATCAAAGAATCTTATTTTTGAAAATATTTTGGGCATTTGGTTTACTCAGGTATTTCATTTGTGGGTGCATCCCCATCATCTAGCTTAAAATGTAGACTGTGTATTTGAACTTCAGGAAACTGGCATTCACCAGTACGTACTAAACATGGTCTTGTCTAGAACTTTTCTTTGCTTTGTGTCACTGTATTCTAGTTCTATATGTTTTTATCAGCACTTCATCCACATACTAATTTTTAGTGTTTATTTGTGAATGGAGACTTTATGCATATTCATTTTTCCAAAAGCAAAGGAGTCAGCAAAAGAATACTTCGTAGAGGTCGTCCCAGTTGGATGGTTCTGCTGTTCTTTGTTTTGGATATAAATGTTAGTTTTTAGAGTCAGTAAGTGGGATATACTTGTGCATGGCTCCTTCAGCACAGAAAGTAACTTAATTTGAACATAGGATTGTGAATTCAAAGTGGCTGTTCACTTTCTCTAGGAAAAGCTGGCGAAGGCTTTGCTGGCGAAGGCTTTGCTGCCTCAGCTGGTCTCAAGAGTGTGAATCACAAACATGACCTGCTACACTGCTAGTGACAGAAACATTTGATGCTTGGGTTTGTTGACTCAGCCAGGTTGAGACACATTTGTTATGAATCAGGCTGTGATGATTGGCGCAGGGGTACGGACCTCAGCTGAGTCATGGGAGCTGAATGTATGTGTTTCTCCTTTGTCCTGCATGTGGCAGGGTGATGGCGAGCACATATATGAGACTGATGCCTCAATCTGAGCCTGCTCTTCATAATATAATTTGAGGCCACACTGAACTCATACTGGATTATAAGAGAGGAAAGAGATGGTACTCTGTTGCATCCTTGTCATCAGACTGCCCAGGGGCTATACTCCCTCCCATGAAGATTAAAGCGATCCTCTTAAAGGGATCACTTAAAGTGCTTACAATCTTCAGCACTGGCGACAAATCAGATTTGTCTGTGAAACTTGTCATGTCCATTTGTGAAGTTGGGGAGGAGGGAGTTGGAGCAGGTGAGGTGACTATGATGTAGACAGGGCTGGGATTGGGGGCACTCACAGATTTGCGTGGTCAGGAAGGACCCTTAATCTGTGAGTCCAAGAGAACAGCTATGGTAATCTGATTGTCTTCTGTTTTATTAGTATTCATACTCTGTCTCCTATTTTATCTTGAACAGGAAAATGTTGGGGCTTTTCAGGAAGCATAATAAGATCCCTAGGTAAGTTGAAGTTAATGAGCCTGTATGGGTACATCCTAGAATTAACTGCATGAGCTTAACTCTTACTGTGGGGTGATTGGGATATCTTCACACACCTCAGCCACGGCAGTTGGGCACTCTTCTCACAGGCAGGCAAATGAACAACACAGCCACCATCTAGGGCATCTGAGGCGAGCACCAATTTATCCTCTGCGTTCAGTGATCGCAACATTGGGGCTACACTGAATCGCCCCTCAGTGAAGGCATAGTGAAGTGATGTTCAGTATCTTTGGCCCGAAGTTAGACTTTATGTGACTTTGCCTCCAAAGCTAGTTGAGGATTTTATGGCTGAACTTTCTAAAATGCTAGCTAGATTTTGCATGTAAATCCTTGACTGAGGGGGGACTTAGGGGTTTAGTTGAGGAATGTTGACATTTCATCTTTCTTTTACAGTAATGAGTTGCTGAATGAGTTTATGGACAGTGCAAAAGCATCCAGTAGCCCTGCCCAGGCCATCGAGATAGTGAAGCTGGCGAGTGCCTTCAGCTTACCTATTTGTGAGGGCCTCACCCAGAGAGTAATGGCAGACTTTACAATCAGCCAGGAACAAAAGTAAGTGGCTCCTGTATTGTCACCATGAAGGAAAGTTATAAAAATTGAAGCAGACCATTCAAATGGTCAAATTTTAATCTGCCCAGATATGTATGGCTTTCTAATCCCTGAATTTCCTTCACAAAAAAGCAGAATGTATTGATTTAATGATTCATTTGTGGGATTGGGGCAGGGAGTGCTGTAATTTTGGCTGTTGGAGCCTTTTCCTTTGTGAGGCTCCAGAGTTCTGCCCCCAAGAATGAATTGCACTGTAACTCTCCAGTTTATATTTTCCTTACAGGGAATCCCTGGGAAACCTAACTGCATTGACCCATGACAGCGATAGTGACAGCAGCAGTGACAGCGACAGTGACATCAGTGAAAGCAAATAAAAGTGGTCCAGTCAAGAGCATCTGTGGCCTAGCATAACTTCTCTAACTACACTTGAGAACTGAGATGTTAATATTAAACTGTGATATAAATAAAATGAGAATATAGATTTGGTGAACTTTTAAATACAGTTGATCCAACACTGAGTTATTTAGGTTAAATTCCTAATTTGATACCTACTAAACCATCCATTCAAGGTCTACCATTTAAACAGAAGCAGCACTACTATTTCATTTCTTTGGACACACAGTGTGAGATACATAGCTCCTGATTTCGGCATAAGCTCTGCACACCTTTGTTTACCTGCTGCCTTCACACTACTGTCATCAGTGTGGTTCATTTTTATGTTGTGGTTTAGCCTTTGTTGGCTGATGCTATGATGCTGGTTCTTCCTTGATCTTAGAGAAAGTGTCTAAAGAAGGTTGTCATAGTTACATAACAATTGATACTGGGTCGATAATATCCCAATTTCAGGGATATTTAGATGTAAAAAAATTGTAAGTCTTAGAATTGATTTTCATTTCTGACAATGGCAGTTTAAGCTGCACAAATACGAAAATGATGTCTAAATAAATACTGTGATTAATTAATGTACATGTGTATGCAGTTTTATTATTACATAGCCTTTGGCACAGTTCCCAGTAGACTTGGTCTTCGCACATTTCTCCCTCTCCATTTTGATTTTGTCTGTGCTGGCACCTTGTCATGCTATACTTAAAGTGGTTTGAATGAGGGCTCGTGATGACAAAAGGATTGAAATGTCATCTTGACATGATTGTGTGTTGCTAGTAATCAAGTTGGTCAGGGGCTTCTACTTCTAGCATTACTCTTACCACTCTGACTTCCAAATAGTTTTGGAAGCTGAACGGAACTTATGAGATTTGCAGCATTCTTACGTTCACGAGGGCTTCTACCATAGGCTGCTCACCTGATTGCCAGATTACTGAGGCACCCCAGGTTCTTCTGTAGGTGAGAACCTTCATCCTTACCAAGATTGACATTTATGGGCGGCAGTATTGATGTCTGTTGCACGTGTCTGTTGCTGTCTCTATTTACCATCGTCACTAAGCCAGTCATATGTCTTCGGAAGCCTAAGTATTGGTTCGTGTTTTTTTAAGAATGTCAGTTTAAGACATCTGAGGTGGGGAGGCAGGGTGCAGTGGGGTTGTAGTAGTTAGCTACTCAAGCGTTCATGTGCATTGCTCCATTAGCCCCTTGACATATTAAAGCAAAAGAGCAAAAGGACAGATCAGGTGTATTAGACTTTGGTCTTGGTTACAACTTCCAAGGAGAACCTGGCTACCTGGAAGCTTGTTAACTCAGCCTCTTTCCCCCTGGTTCTTCGGCACC